ATGGCAGGAGCAAGGGAGCGCCGCAGCTCTTCCGCAGTTCATCTCAGAGAAACGTGTCCGCGCTGTACCTCGTGCTACCCCGCTAGCTCAGCCGTTTTATTCCATCGCGAATACACCAAAGAAATTGTAAATAGTGTAAAAAGTGTCTTTATTAAACTGTGTCGTGTAAAATCGCTTTCTATTCTCTTAAGATCCTAATCGAGTCTCCTCTCCGTACTCTATCTCGCCAGCGTTCGCCTCCGCGCGACCTCACGCTTGCTCCGCGTTTGTACATTTGTTGGTCCTTCGAGCCGGATTCCAAGACTCCGGTGCCTGCGCAGTGCGTGAGTGCAACCGCTGTGGTGACCCTTTGTGTTCTATCAGACGTCCACCTGAAAAAGCAAGATGAGTAAGGGCGAGGAGCAAACCGCTAAGGATCAAACCTCTAAAGAACCACTTCCGAGAGAAGCGGACATCTTGGTACGCTCCCAGGTTGAGCTCTATGGCAAGATCGCCCGCGCTTCCGAAAACTTGAAGAAGCAGGGCGTCGCCAATATTACCATCGGGCTAACGGAGGCCCGTTTGCAGGCCCTCGATAACAACTGGGCGAAGTTTGAGGCTCAGCACGACAAGCTTATCTCGGGCTTCTGGGAGGCTCTTACCGGCCAGGATTACCTGAAAAAGGATTACCATTCTTTCACCGAGGAGACCTATCTCAATCAGAAGGGCATGTTCTTAGAAACCCTCCGATGCATGAGGGCAAAGGCCAAAGAGGAGCTCCCCGCGGCCCCCCTCGCAGCGCCACATCCGCCTCGCACGACTCTCCCGCGCATTCAGCTGCCGCCGTTCTCGGGTCGGTACGAGGACTGGCCGCCCTTCCGAGACCTCTTCCACTCGCTCATCGGGAAGGACGCCACCACGACGCAAGTAGAGAAGCTGCACTACCTGAAGTCTTGTCTAAAGGGAGAAGCAGACCTTTTAATTCGCAATCTGACGACGACTAACGAAAATTTCGAGCGCGCGTGGAAGGCCCTGACTGACTACTACGAGAACAAGCGACTCCTGGTTCGATCATACATCTCGCAATTTACGGCCTTGCAGAAGCTCAAGAGCGAGTCAGCCTCCGAGCTGCGCAAGCTGTATCACGGCGTTATAAACACCGTCGGCTCATTGGAGAGCATCGGCCGACCGATTACGCGCGGCGAGGACTTGTTCGTCCATTTGATAGCGGAGCTGCTCGACTCCCGATCGCGTCGCGAGTGGGAGAACACTATAAGCGAGACGACCGATCCTCCGTCGTACTCCGACCTGCGTCAATTTCTAGAACGTCATCTGCATACTCTTGAGTCCCTACAGCCGATCAAGACGGAGACCAACAGGACGGAAGTCAGCTCCAAGACGGGCGATAACGCGTCCCGTCAAGCCCGCGCATTGCACTCGCGCCCACAGGAAAACAAGTACGGCCGTTGTACCTTGTGCCGAAAGGATCACTACATCCTACGGTGCGACGCGTACCGAGCAAAGACGGCAGAGGAACGTAAGAAACACGTAGAGACGCACCAATTGTGCATCAACTGCCTCGGTAAGCACAAGTTGAGTGAGTGTACTTCCCAGCGGACGTGCACGTCTTGCGATGCTCGGCACCATTCGACCTTGCACGATGCCTGTCAGGTCAATGAGGTCGCAAAATCTGCCGCGGTCGCAAAGGTTGCGCACCTCGCGCAACAACCGTCCGAGGCTCCAATCGCGGTGCTACTCGCCACCGCCCGCGTTCGCGTGACAGATCTGGCGCCGATCACTTCGCTCGCGCACTCATCGATCAAGGCTCGGAATCGTCTCTAATTTCGGAATCGCTGGCCCAGCGCTTACGACTCCCCCGCAGAGCTACCTCGGTGGCGGTGTACGGTGTGGGGGGAAAACGGACGGGCTGCGCGCGCGGCTTAGTGGACTTCCGGATCTCACCACGAGGAGGCGGTCCGCCGACGCTGGTGTCGGCATTGGTGCTCCCCCGCCTCACTCTTCACGGTGGCGAACTCAGGACCGAGCGCGGAACGTGGGCTCACCTGCAGGGCCTAGAGCTCGCCGATCCAGAGTTTCTCGCCACTGATTCTATCGACATCCTCCTAGGGGCAGACATCTACGCCAACATCCTCCAAGCCGGCCTTCGGAAGGGTGGGCCACGGGAGCCAGTGGCGCAGAAGACAAAGCTAGGCTGGATACTCTCTGGGATCGTCGGACTAGCGGCCGATACTCGTCGCGCTCGTACCCACCAGTGCCTAATCGAGGAGAGCCTGCCCGCCCTCGTGCGAGAATTCTGGCTCCAGGAAGAGGCGCCCGTAGCCCCCTCGCCGCTCACGCCCGCTGAACAAGCATGCGAGGAATCCTTCCGCCGAACTCACACCCGCACCGCTGAGGGTCGGTACGTAGTGCGCCTTCCCGTCGTTGAGCCGCTGCCGAATCTCGCGCCCACGCGCCAAGCAGCACTGCGCGTCCTCTCCAGCATGGAGGGGAGATTCGCACGAGACGACCGCCTGCGCCAGCTCTACCGGGAGTTCCTGCAACAATACGAGGACCTGGGTCACATGAGAGTAGTAGATCGGTCCGATCAACCGGGGGGGAGACTCAGCTATCTCCCACATCACGGGGTCCTGCGGGAGTCCAGCTCCTCTACGAAGCTGCGCGTAGTCTTCAACGGCTCGACTACGACCGCCTCGGGTGACGCGCTAAATCGACACCTGATGGTAGGACCGAACCTGCTGCCGCAGCTCGCTGACGTACTTCTATGTTGGCGACACCATCGTTACGTTCTCGCCACGGACGTAGAGAAGATGTTCCGCCAGATCCTAGTCTATCCGGAAGATCGCGATCTGCAAAGGATCATCTGGCGGTCAAACAAAGACGAGGAGTTGAAGGAGTATCGGCTAAACACAGTCACTTACGGATTGGCATGTGCGCCCTTCTTAGCCATGAGAGCCCTCCGCCAGCTCGCCGAGGATGAGATGGAACGCTTCCCCCAGGGAGCGGAAGTCCTCCGCCGCGACGTCTATATGGACGACGTCCTCACCGGCTCCGCCTCGCTCGCGGAGACGCAAGAACTCCAGCGGCAGTTATCAGCTCTCTGCACGGCGGGCGGGTTCCCTCTAAGGAAGTGGGCCTCGAACGACGACTCACTACTGGAGGGCGTGCCCTTGGAGCACCAGATGCAGCACGAGCTCCGTGCTTGGCAGCCACATGAGGCTCATGCGACTCTTGGACTGCGTTGGCATCCCTGTACCGACTGCTTTTCCTTCTCCACGAGGTCGCTAACAGTGACGACAATCACCGAACGATCGACCTTGTCGCTGATGTCGCGCCTCTACGATCCTCCCGGCTGGCTGGCTCCCGCCGTGGTGAAAGCCAAGATCGCGTTCCAGTCTACCTGGCTCCAGGGGCTCGATTGGGACGACCCCCTTGACGAGGCCTCGGCGCGACAGTGGGTCACTTATTTGACCGAGCTTCCACGACTCGAGGAAATCAGGATCCCGCGATGGCTTACCTCCGACCATTCGGGAGCCAAACTGCAGCTGCACGGGTTCGCCGACGCCTCCGAGCGCGCCTACGCTGCCGTGTTATATCTGCGGACGGAGATCGACGGTCAGGTAAAGACCCATCTCATTATGGCAAAGACCAAGGTCGCCCCTCTTAAGCAGGTTACCCTACCGAGGTTGGAGCTCTGCGCCGCCACTCTTCTCGCGCGACTCGCCGCACACATCCGACGGACCCTGGATGTGACCCAAGCTCCGCTGCACCTCTGGTCGGACTCCACTGTAGCGCTCGGCTGGATCCGAGGCCACCCGACCCGATGGCAGACGTACGTCGCGAATCGCGTGGCGGAAATACAGAACGCCGTCCCTGAGGCTCTATGGCATCACGTGCCGGGCT